CAGAAGGGCCCACAGTGACTTTTCAAACAGAAGATCTCTACTCTGACGATATTGGGCCAAACTTCTCATACTCCTCCAATAACACTGTTTAGAGTGTGATTCTTCGTGTTGCTGCCTTCTGGTAAAAAACAATGACATTTCACAACTGATTTATGAAGTAATTGATAAGAAAAGATTTTTATATATTCATATTTGTACTTATGTACATTAACTATTATAGTAAGATCACCTAATTGTGGAAGACAACTAATATCCTCATTATTACTTAAACCATTCTTGAAATTCGACAAGTAAAATCTTTCAATCCACTTCTGCAGCCCTTTTAACCAAAAGTAAGGTTGCTCTTCCTTTGATCTTCCATTTCAGTATTTCTTATTCTATTCTGTCAGTATTAGTATCAAATGAACTGGGGCAAGTATAGTTATTTTAAGCCTGTGCAATGTGTTTTGGTTTTGATGTAGAAGTATCTTCTGACTCTTTAATACCAGTACTTATACCCACTACACAAGATACTGTGAGGACCCTTCAAGAATGAACATTGCTACACAAATTCCAATTTGCAGTATTGTCATTGTATAAACAGACTTTTTTTTAAAAAAAAAAAAAAAGAGATAGCATAGACCAACTTTTGCCATCATCTTTTGCCACAGTGTTCCCTTCAAATTGGAGTACTTTCAGCCAGGAGTAGCTGAATGTAGCTATGCATTAATGAGTAAACTCTCTTGACTAATCCAGTTCATTCTGTCTAGTAAAAGGATTCCAACAGCAAACATGCATATCAATTTCTAAGAAGAAAGCAAGCCAAGAAAGGCAGCTCCAGAGGATATCAAGAAAACAAAAAGTGACAGATCGGTGTCATGTAAGAGAAAGTATGGCAGGAAATATTATCATGCTTTATTCTGTATGAAGGCTCCAGAATCAGTAGGTAAAGCAGAACATTCCTATTCTGCATTACAACATTGTAAATATTGAGAGTAAATAGCATAATACAGGATTACATCATTCCTGATGAGGCAGAATGCTCTCATTCTGTTCACTGCTTAGGGAACATTTAATTATTTTATTCTTTAATTAAATATAAACAAGCATAATGTTTTTAAATTGCATGGCCACTTAGGAGTTAAGTTCCAATTTTAATTATCATGTCTGGTCTTAAGGTTTAATTATGTGAACTTTCTTAAATTACAGTAGAATACAAATCAGGTACAAAATTTTCCTTCAAGAAAGACAGCCTTGTCCAGAATTCACAAATAACTTGGAAATAGTGGGAGCAGACTGTCAGGAGTCTCTACCCTTTTTTGAGAGGTGGAAACTATTTCCAATTACAGCAAGAATGGAGTTGGCCTACACAACACCCATTCTTGCTGCACTGCATTTTTAAAAAAGAATTAAATATGAAATTGAAGGTTATGCAGTAGAAAAAGGTGTCAACTTCATTTTGATGTCTAATTAGCCAACTGTTCTTGCCTTTTTTTGCTATCTTACCATGGGAATTCTTTGCCTCCTCAAAATCCAGAATGTTTTCATTAAATCTAGAGATACTGCTCTGATGTTTTGCACACACTGTATTTCCAAAAAGTGGATGATTTTGGAGTCATGATACTTTAAGACAATCTGAGGATTAAATAAAATAAGAACATTAATGCATGCAGCACAAGACAACACTTCACTCGTTGCAGTAACACAGCAACATGTGACTTGCAGCATGGAAAAATACTTCCAAGCAACCAAATTCTAAGAGGGCTCAAATCTCCCCAAACGTGCAGGTGTCTTGCCCAGACTCATCCAATCCCTCTGACCAGCTCTGCATCCAACTTCAGAAGCCCTGAACTCACTAGCACACAGGCCAGCCTCACTAGCCTACCCAGGAAGCTAACAGATGGAAGTTACCACTATCTCCTGCCGTGCCACAGGCTCACCATTAAGCCTTGGCCTGCAGGACTGCATCCTGTCTCGATCCGAAGGATCTTTCGGACGGAGAACAGAAGTTACTTTGAACAGTCTTTGAATATCTGACTTGGAAGAAGTCACCCAAATTATTAAAAACAAACTGGTATCTGTTCACTTATAATAGCCTTTTCAGGAGAGCAACAATGGCACGCTGTCTTCTAGACTACTTCTTTTCAACATGCTTTTGACAACACCATCTCAATTAAGCTACTTACAAACTTCACTTTCTTTCTTGCCATCAGCACAAGTGTCCTGGGTTTGAGTGGTGGGTTTTTTTGGTAGCAGGGGAGGGGGCTATAGGAGTGGCCCACTGTGAGAAGCTTCTCGAAGCGTCCCCAGCTCCAAGTCAGCTCCACATCTGCACCAGAAAACCCCACCACTCACTCAAACCCAGAACATTATCATTTCATCCCCAAGACCTCTAATCGTTCGCTTTACCGGGTAAACCTGCCCCGGGACGAGCGCCAGCTATCCTGAGGGAAACTTCAGAGGGAACCAGCTGGGAGGAGGAGGTTATGGTGAGATGGCAGTGGTGCCCCCCCCCCCCCCCCCCAACTTCTCACAGGGGGCCACTCCTATAGCCCTCTCCCCTGCTACCAAAAACCCCACCACTCACTCAAACCCAGGACAACAAGCCACCATTTTGTGTGCAGCACATCCCCAAGGAGGTGCAGGATTATTTGCTTATTGCTGATGATCACCTGGGCAGGAGTCCTACAAGCTTGTATTTTTCCACAAGTAAGGTAGGTGCCACTTTGTGCAAATCAGACATTTCCATTTGCATAAAACAAGTTACTCCTCAAGCTGGCTGTATGCCCTGAAAAATACAGGATTCTAACTGTACTGCAGGCATTTGCACAAATAAAACATGGCTACGCAACAACACTTATGAACAGATCTGATGCATTAAAGTTTGATTTCAATGCAATGTAAAAAGAGCCTCAAATGTCTATAAAGGTATTTCCCCATGGCTACACATCAGGATGCCAGCAGCACTCAGTAAGTCAAGTATTAATTCCTCAGCTTGACAGAAGATGGGCTTTCACCTCAGTAACTCCTAAATTCACAGGGATGTACTTTTTTTTTTTTCCTGTGTTATATATTACTATTACCCTTATCACCCTCTTGGGCTTTCACCTTTAGCTACAATGAGGGAGTTAAGTGAAGAGATCCCTCTGACCCTTGGAACTCCATCCACTTCAGAAAACAACACATGGGTACACTCCAGAAGTACAACTGGCTATAAGACTTCCCAAAACTTTGAAGGTATGGAATGTGGTATTTATTCTCTTTCTCTTCCTCTGAAAACCCTGCCCAGGGCCTCTGGGAAACATTGACACACCTGTAGTACTTACTTGCTCAGCAAAATCAACTTCTCTAAGAAGGAAAAGCATACTATGTGCAATTTATTTATCACTGTTAGAAAACTTAAATACTTTAGGGCACATAACTAAAACGATGTAGTTTACTTTTGAATAATGCCACAAACAGAGATAAACTCACTAGAGAACATGCATGTATTTTTTGCCTCTTGTCATATCACTGATGTGAAGAAAGTGGATATTGAAAACAGTGTTGCTGACTCACAAGCAAAGAGGAAGGTTATAGATGTATTCCAGAATCAACCTTTTAATCAGATAACCTTAAAACAAGCACAAAAGCAGAGGCTGAAGTGTTACTGCACAGATATAGAAAAACACCCTTGTGACATCTGGCCTACAGTATATAGGCCACAGAGTAGAGGAATTATATTTGCTTAATACCGTATTAGAAATAACTTCTGCCGAAATACTTCTTGGTTAGGAAAAGCATTCTAAAAACCTTGGTGTAGTGCTCATATCAACACTTCAAATATTTCTTTGGTTTTCAATGTATGAGAAACAGATACATAGAGATTTCTTCATCTTACAATTCTCTCAAAGTTCTCTACCCACACATTTTCTCTCAAAAAAAGCAAGCATTTAAAATGGCTTCTTCCCCCTCCTCAAACCTTGAATTTTTAGTGGAGTCAGGATAAAATTACTGAGTCCTTGTGAGAATCCAGCTCCACCCATGCCAAAACATCAAAACAAAAATTTCATCTTTGGCTCCTCTTCCTGTGTATATAATGTCTCATTTGTTTTCTGCCTTCCTCTACCATTGTTGCTCAAAATATGAGCAACACAACTTGGCTGGAAATGCCTTTGACTGAGGAGGTATCTTCTGCCAGGTAGCTTCAAGGAAAATGTAAACTACTTATGTTCAGCAGGATATAATTTTCAGAGAGGATGTAACAGCTATTGAGCTATTGCTACACTTGAACTTTGCCATTTACCATTTGAGTTAAACAAGAGTAATTGACAATGACTTTAACAAAGGATGCTTGTGTATTATCACAGAAGTCAAATGTTGTTTTGTGCTGGTTTTGGCTGGGGCAAAGCTAAGGGTAGACTGCAACAACTTACAGATAACTCCTGCAAATTCTAGAAAGGAGATTTCACTGTTTAATGTACAAAGGCCCAGTGAAAATAAATTTAGAAGTACCTTTCTATGCACACCTTGCTCTACACAGAGCACTGAAGCAACGATTAAGTTATGAAACATCCTTTCCTGAAATAAAAAAAAAGTGAACTTCAAATTTGATGACGTTGACACAACCTACCCTTAGAAGGGTACAGACCAGTCAGTGGAAATACCAGCTTCAGTATCCTCACGAAGGGCATCTTAGGGCAGACAGCCCCGGCAGGCAGCAGCAGGCTCTGCCCATGCTGAGAGCCCCCTGCGGCCCTGTGACCACGCCACTGCAGCATTACTGGGCTTTATGCACCACCTGCTTCTCCCAGGGACTTACAGCACGATCCTCCATCAGAGCATGATCGCACCCATCCCGGTTAAGAGAGTACTGCCAGATCATGCAGCTGCCTGCTTGGATACGTCAGAGATCTAACCAGAGTCTTCCTGTACATACTAATCCTGACACTGAAGTACTTCAGAAGTGAGGATATGGGTCTGTTCCAGCCCTGACAGACTCCTTGGTGCCTGTGAAAAGAGCACTGTATATAAGAATTAGATCCAATACTGCAAAGACTTAACCAATATTTATTGCAAGCACATTCCTCAAGTTTCTCAGGACCTTTCATGTACTTGATATGGTGTATGTGAGTGCATCATGTTGAATCAGTTTCCAACATACGTTAACTAAGAGGCAAATACATGTCCATAGGGAAAATACTAAAACTGAAGACTTCAGTTAAGAACATCAAACAAGCAAAAAGATCAAAACATCCTTTATAGTCAGTATGGATGTAAGCTGTAGGTAGACAAGGACAAAAGGGTGAGAGGCCACACATTTCATCATCTCGTCCCAAGACTTATCTGCATTATAACAGAGAATTTTAAACTGGTTAGATAATCTGAGTTTGAGGCAACATACATTTATTTTAAATTACCACTATATCTTAATTATCACAAATAACATGATCTATAATACAGAGCTGTTACAATAGATCTCTTTGTATTCCAGCTCTGTAGGTAAGTATTTTTGGTGAGATTACAAACAGTAGACCATAAATTTATTATTTTGCATCTATAATATGAATCACAGTGTAAAGATTAGGTGCCATATGGTTATATATAACAATTCTCATTGTGCACAAATAATCACTGACACTTTTAACCATTTATCTAGCTTTCAAGATGCAATAAATTAGATACTAGCATTTTAGATACTAGATACTGACATTCATGGTGTAAAATGTCTAACACAGCAACTAAGGATTCTTACTTCGTGTGAACAGGGATCATTTATATTTATCTCTAGTATAGAAAGCATCCAAATGCTCTTGTGACATTTTATGGAGGCACAGAAAATATCATGCAGCAGAAACATCATCATTTTGTGTTTAGTGATGTTTTCTTCTATTAGTATCTAGTGCTAAATCCTGAGAAGTCAAGCTTGGGAATCTCCTTTTCATTGGAAAAATTTGTTCGATCTATGCGAGAACTGGGGCTTCCAACTTTACTCAGCCAGGATTTCCTGCAAGAAAAACGAGAGGGTTAGAATATAAAGAATATATTTAGTAGTTCTCTGTTTTCCCTCCCTTTCTTCTTAAAAGGAAAAAAAAAATATTTAAAAGGTGTCAGTATTTCAAAAAGTATTACTGAATATTATATAAAAACATTCCTGACTAAAGGCTAAGTCCTTTTTAAGTGTTTATTAATAGCACTAAAATAGATATCTATTAGCTTTGCAGATTCAATACTCTATTTTTATCAAGGACCTAAAAAATATTTTAATTTTAAAATATTACAAACAAAGAGTCCTAACAGCCTGTTTACCCTTTTCTGACAACTAAAACAAATGGAAACTGAAATGATGTCACAAAGTAATACTAAATTGTACTAATAAATACTGAATTTTATACAGGCATTCTGAATTCTTAAGTGGTGATATTGCATGTATTTGCATTATGATCCAATCTTGATTTATGCTGGTGCTTGCCTTCTTCCACGGCACACTAGAAAATAGTACTGAACATAAATTACCATACTGAGGCTGGAAACTGACAGTGCGATGGCTGTTCCTACACACCCACCCACTATATTCCTCTCCTGCAGTAATTTGCTAATGCACAGTAGTGGTAAGATATTGTGTGATAAAAGGAGGTGCACAAACACTTGAAGTGCAGCAGACAATACTGCTTACAGAGAGGTTTATTTACAAAAAATACTGTCTCAGTATTTTCTCCTGCACGGATGCCTCAGAAATAGGAAAGTATTTTACTGTACCACATTTAAGGAGAAATATATTTCCACACAATTACTTTTTATAACTGCAATGATGCATAAACTGGTATAGACACATAACTGTGATCCATATTGAAGAAATATATCAATATTCATTTAAACTCCATTTGAAGACCATAAAAGTAATGTCTTAAGTTATGGTAATTAATCCATTAAAAAACACAACACACTGAGCATTATAAAATGCAATGTTCTTGCAGTGAGACATATTTCTGATGTCTTAATAATGAAAACTGTGCCTAGAGATTGCTCGTCTCAAGCCATTAAATAAAACACACCTGGGATATAGAAGCGTATCTTGTTAGAGACCCTATGTGACAAGAGGGGTTTTAGACAATTTCTGACATAATTTAACATGGCAAAGCATCTTGCATGTCTTCCCTGGTTATCAGAGACAAGTAATTTTCTCCAAACTGTGCTAGTCCTTCATAAGACTGGTCTCACCACTAGCATGGAGAGTTCCAAACCTGTATTCAGGACCTGCACAACTAACCTCCTTCTTGAAACTCCACACACAGCCTCTTGATTATGAAGAAATACATATACTTAATACTTTAAGAAAGCAGATATGTACTACTAATCATTTTGAAATATAACCATGGGAGTATGCTTGGTGGATTATAGACTTGCAGTGTCAAGGAACCCCATGACCTCCTTCCCATTTGACCACTAAAATAGATGATCTATATGGAAAGACTGCCTAGAAAACACAAACCAGATACGGATATAATTCAGTGTGTGACAAACCTTGATTTAGTATACGGCAATTAAAATTCATAATTATGTCAGATGTTTACACATCTTTACACCTTTTGTTATTTGTTTCACTTTGTGAACAACCTCCCTTCTTGTCTGTTTTAGATGATGAAGCCTTTCCAGTAAGCAATGTAACACAGGAATGCAAGTACATGACTGAAACAGGAGAACCCAACTTACCACTCCTCACTGGAGCCCTAAAGGTTGATTAAATTTTTCAACAGAAAGAAAAAAGCTTAGTAATAGAGCACTCCATTTTGCTCCATAGTATGAAAAATATGAAAAGCCCTTTGTTTATTTTGCAGAAAAGTCTCTAAAATAGTTGGATGTTCCTGAGTAAAGAAAAAGAACATGTATTTGAAATACTGAATTACATAAAATAATCTGTACTCTTTTTAGAAGTCTAATGTGATATCCACAGGTAAACATACTATTTCCTTTTTTTTTTTTCTTTTCATTTTAAAGGTGAGCTTGTCCTAGACAAAACCAGAAGAAATATACTCCTGCCCAGCCTTCACAACCTTACACAAGACCAAAATTGTAATTGGAAGCAGCCATGGATTAAAGTTCACTGCATGGATAAAAGTTCACTGAAGAGAGTAACTGTGCAAACTGCACAGAGCAAACTTTACTCATTGTCAGCTCCATATACTATCATATGAATGATAAAGTACAAATGATGAAAATCCAATTAAAACAATCTAGCTCCATGGAAACTCTTCACAGGATGCATGTATTTCATTCCTTATTTAATGCGGGAGGTAGGAAAGGAAATGTTACTTCCCTACCTGGAATGTTCATGACTAGAGAGGGTCAGATCTTCACTGAGATGCCAATATTTTGCAATCAGACCTCTTCAGTCATGTCCCTTCACTTCGCCCAAGTGACAGACCATTCACTGAACACTATGAAGCACATTCTTTACAAGCTAAGAAAGCAGGAAATCAGTATTTGCTAAAAGCAGTACACAGTTATAGTTGTTTCCTCATTTATATACAGAGCAGAAAATGTCATCTCCATTATCTTTCATAAGTATCTTTAAAATGGTTTTAACAGTCATTAGTATCCAGGTCAATAGACCTGAGTTAAGAAAAGGTTCTGTATCCTCCTCTTACTTCACTCAGCCTTCTTAATTTTCTTTCACATGTGCCATGAATTTCAGATCACCCAATGTGTGCAAGAGATTAGCTACAATTACTAGCATTTGGAGTTCTAGCTTACCATTTATAACATCCATTTTTAAAACTCACTGCTGCTACTCACTTCCCTTCAGGAGTTGAGAAAGACAGCTTCCACCTCACTCATCACATGGGGTAGGTCTGAATCAAACAAGGACATTCCTTTAGTCTGCAACAGGACAGTATATAGCTTCTCTTATATTTTAAGATCTATTTCTAAAGCTGCACTGCCTCAAGGAGTATGGAACAGGAGCTAATCTCCAAATAGCCATTTCCTACCATGTTTTATTTCTCAAGCACCGCATGTCCATGCAACCGCTCCTGGCCATGCTCGGATCTCACTGTTCCAAACCAAAGCAGCATTGTGGGGACTAGATGGACTCAGATGCACGTTAATCCCAGAGTGAGGAGTTACACAACCTCCCTGCCCAGGGCAGCAGCCAGGCAGGCCAGCACCCCAGGGTCTCTCCTCAGGGTGTGAAGCGCTCCTGACACCCCGTTCCCACCCTCTGCTGCAGGGTTGAGAGCCCCCAGATGATTGGTTCATTTGGACAGGTGGCACCTGGTGATTGGCTGCTGCTGGTGTGGGCTGCCCCCCTCCTTCTGGAAGCTTCTCCACAGCCAGTAACCAGCCCTTGCCCCCGGTGTCCCCCGTAGCCATATCTGGGCAGGGCTGCTCACAAAAATACCCCTTATTATTGAAGCCATTCAGAGCACATTTTCCTCACCATTCTGGATTTGACTTGCTCAGCCCCATTAGGACAGCCTGCCTCAAACAGCTTCCCAGCTAAACTTAAACACACACTTCCCCTATCCCCTATTCATAGGGGCTTACTCCTAGGCGTTTAAAACATTTGGATCTGTCATGGTTTTGCTCTTATTTCACTAACTGAAATGAACCTTGCTAAGTGACTCTGGCTTGTTACCTAGGCAACCAGGCTCTTTCCATTCAACATATTATTGGAAACTAACATCTAAAGACCTGGGTTTGCACCATCCCAATTTAGGATCTCGCAGAAAGAGCCTGGTTGTGTACAGTATTCCAAGCAGACATTTTCCTTGCAAGCTGAGGCACATGTGCCTACCTGCTAACCTGTTAAGATGAAGCCTGACCCTGTCAAACCTGCAGAGTTCTCTGGAAACGTTGTTTACAAGGTAAGACTAGCACAGCCCTAAAAACCACTGTGATTGGAATGCTACAGGCAATAGAGTGACTTTGATTTCCCCAAATAAGACATTTTAACCAAAATCTATGATATAAACCAGATTTCTAGAAAATAAATGTCTTGGCATTATTCTCTGACTGAAATATTTTCCTATTTTGATAAGGAAAAAGTAACTCTGGTGCAGGAAGAAACAGGCCTTCTGCACCTTCACCCAGCAGGCATGCCAAACAAGCACGTAAACGAACAATGCGAGTTTTCCTCTGCTAGACTCTGTATTAAACCACTGATATACACAAGATGCTTCTGCAATAGTTCATTTAATGGATGCAAAAAGCCAGACTATTCTGAGATTGGAGCAATTTACAGTCCAGAGTGCTAGAAATGGACCTCAAAATGACCCACAGCATTAATACCTGGTGAGCTAGGCACAGTTTAGGAGTATGTTTGTTTCTCTTTACCTTAACCACAGTGTCACAGTGAAACGAGAGAAATGTGTGCTTTTATTTAGAGGGAGAGAAAATAAATTCACTAGCTTGTTTACACTTCATTTCCCTTTGTTTAGGATAAAATACTGGAGAGAATGTTGCTTTTTGAAGAGTGTACTTACATCTGTGACAGCATATAGACTAAGATTGCAAATATTTATAAAATACCTCCAAAATGTTGTTGTATTCTGAAACGCTACTGTCAAGTTTTCATAAACCCTTGTATTTAAATGTTTGCTGAAGAAATGCAGAATATTCTCTTTCACTGCTGTCTGGCTTCAGAGCTTTTGGGAAGAACTTTCGCCATGGTTTTCAAATTCTTCTCTACCATCATAAGGGCTAGGAACATTTTACTTAAAAACCTTTATTTTCATAAACCTCAAATTCACATCTAGGTGAAACCTCTAGTAGCCTGGATAGTAAATACATCTCACAGCTTACTGTAGAGCCATTTCACTGTCTCTACACCCCTGCTCCTGATGCCAGGGCCTAATAGTAAAATAGGAATATGGAAACAAAATTTATAGGGTTCAGTGTTGTTGTGAAAAAACTAACAGAAAGGATAAAAACCTTTTAAGACAAGTGTTTGAAAGCTGTTTTGTTTGACATGATATGAATCAGTGTGGCCTGAAAAAGACCCACATT